ACCAGTGCATGGGGTTATTCCTCCCCAGATGCAGCACCCTACACTTGCCTTTGTTGAACTTCATCAGGTTTCTCTCCACCCAACTCTCCAGCCTGTCCATCTACCAACGGCTGCGGGGAGACCAACCACCACCGTCACACAGCATCGCTGGCCCGCGTGCAGCACGGTGCCCCGCAGTCAACACAAGCCGACCCACCGGCAGCCCCAGCCCAAGCGAGGAGGGGGCACCCACCCACCCCACGGCCCCACAGCCGGGGCTGCCCTCCTCCCCGGCACCGCTCGCCCTGCACGTCCTCCTGAACACTGCCGGCTGTCCTTGCAGTTGGGTCTTTTTTGCTCTCCCAAACTCCAGTCCGGTGCCCCCTACCCCATGTTACACATGGCAAAGAGTTTCAAACAGAGATTGCTCCCGGAGACGGGAAACACCACCACCCACGGCCGTCTCACCTGGCCTGAAGACCAACCCCGAGCACACGCCTCTTGGAGCCAGAGCGGTTTACTGAAGAGCTGCACCTGTGGGCTGTGCAACCGGGAACGTGGTTGAGAAAGTTAATTTTGGTGCAAGTAGGATAAAGCCAGGAGAGTGCACTTGACCCCCTTACAAAAAGCCACCTGCACTCTGGCAGGGAGAGTCAAGTAAGGGGTGGGTAAAGAAGCAATCAAGACAAAATACTAATCGTGATGAAAGTAATTGGGGTGCAGTAATAAAATCTTGTAAATCAGCTGGAAATGTAACTGAGTGTCAGGCAGAGAGCCCTCGGAGCCCTCACCTCGGCGTAAGCACGGGAAGAAGCAGCCCAGCAGAAAGCAGCAGATGGCTTTACGTATTCTCACGGATATTTACAGACACTTTTTTAGTAAGCCACTTTGATTCAGAAAAAGCCACAACCAAAACGCACTCTTGAAATTCCCCTTTAGATACAACTGCACATACAGACACACCATGCCGCGTTTTCCCCCCTCCCTCACATAACACAACCCCGGGCAACGCTAATAGCGCTAAGAGTAATCGTGCCGTGTTCTTTCCTTTTACTCAGCCCCGCTTCCCAAGTCTGAGCAACTCTGCTAAACGTCTTCTTAAATATTTGGGTTGAAACATTCCTGTTCACAATTATGGGTTTTCCCCATTTAGTATAAAAAATAAAATTAAATTAAATAAATAAAGGAGGGGGGATGCCAATAAAACTTGCGTGCCATTTTCCAGAACAACAACAG